TTTATAGCTGTAGGAAAATGGCTCCAATCTTGACATTCCTCCATCTTTGGTAGCTCTTGGTGGTGAAATATGAAGTCTCTGTTGGATTATCTGGAGCAAAAGTGTTGACCATGTTCTTTTTTACTGACTTTTTCAGAAATATTCTCCTGAGCACCAGGACACAATGCTCAGGGGGCTCCTCTACTGCAGCACCAGACAAACCTCCGGATAAGGGAGTCTGTCTCCTCCTGGCCTCCAGGAACCTCTTCTGGTTTAGGTTTGTGCTCTGTTACGTTCTTTTCACCAAAGCGCTACCCATCACACCAGCTTCTGGTTCTGCAGGAGACCTTAACGTGTGCAATTTAATTAAACAGATCCCAGAAGCATCAGCTTTGGAAAATCACTCTTTTGCCAAAAGAGGGTGGCCACGAGAGGATGTTGCTGTGGGGTCCTGACTCACTGAAGTTAATGTGACTAGTCAAACAACCAAATTGCTCATATGTGTAATAGAGATCCACAAATAAGTGTCAATTAGAAATAATCATCCAGCCTTCTGATGTGTCCGCATATTACAAATGCAGATCAATTTATATCTCCTAAAATGTCTATGTCTCTTAGAAGTCATTACAATTTCTTGCTAATCAAATATAACAATAGGGCATACAGTAACCCACTACAGAAATGGAGACGTAGGACCGGTCCTCAGCAGTGGTTTTAGAGGTGAGCCTGGAGCCCTAGGAAAGCATGGAGAACTGTACCAACCAGACTGTGAGAAACTCCTCAGCAAGTGTTGGAGGCTGCTGCTGCGAGGGGACCTAAAAGTACTTACTCAGCATCACCCAGCAGGGTTATCTCTAGGAGGAGAAGATGGGGAGAGATTAGTCTGTCAAAATATTAGACCCCTAAATGTGAGCTAGTTGCTCTCTGTTCGTTTGACAATCTGCGGTGTCTGTTTGATGCAGTCACGGGTGTTTCTCCTCGCCCTGAAGCAGATGTCTAACACAAGCAAACCACACTGTACAAGTCCCTACTTCTTCTGATCATGTCTAAAAGCTGCCAGTGCAGCAGTATGAGTCTTGGGGGGAGAAACTGCACTTGATGCACCGAGTCTGTCCAGCAAAGGAAGAGGAGTGGAAAGACCAATGAACCATGAGGTGCTGCTGGGAGGATGTCAAGAGCAGTGCAACTCCATCAGCTCTCGCGGTCATCTTAGGACAGGAATTCCAATTTCCCCAATAAACACTGAAAGGGAACCGGTGCCGATGCCTGCAATTCTCCAGCGGGGCTCCTGGTTTTCAGTGTAAACAGGATGCCCTGCTCATGCTGAATGGGTTGGGGTTTGGTTTATTTGCTTATTTAACATTTGTGTAAGCGATCTCATTGGGGAATTTGGTCACCTAAATGTCGTCTGACGATCACATTCCACTTTTGCAAGCGGAATATCCTAGAGAAACAGATTTTCTGTGCTGCGGAGCTGAGTGAGCTGTCATGATCAGCAAGAGGCTTCAGTATGCTAATATGGAGTCCTGGGCCTAAATCCCACTTAAACCGAGGCCGTTTACACTGCTCTGGCAGTGAAAAAAAACTTTGAAATGAGTGCCCCTTTACTTTGCCCAGAATGGCTTGAGGAGGTCCTCAAGGTAACTGAAGTTGTGTCCCCATTGGCATTGCCAAGCATGAATGTTGTTAATAGACAGTGGAGAGGAATGGGTTGGGTGTATTTAAAGGCTAAAAAGGTACTAGAGAGGCACATACTGCTGCAGTTTGTGGAAGTGCTGATGGACCACTGTAGGATTAGCTGTTTCTTACCATGAGAATTAGGACACGATATTTCTCACAGTAAATCAGATCAATTGTCCATTTTCCTTAATAACAGCTATCCATTCTTACTGCACTGAAAAAAACCTAAGGTATCATTCAGACATTTATGGAAATAAGGAGGTAAAAATATCCAAGTGTACTAAATCTTTCTTGAAAAGCAATTAATCAGGTACATGATTTTTTTTTAATTACTGTGTCATTCCTGTTGGAAACCACATGACTAGGATATTAGGTGGAAGAAGAATTTGCTCAGGATCACATGGTTTTCCTGGAAGAGGGTTTCCATCAAAAATTAGGATGTAAACAAATATGTAAAGTATGTATAGGTGGAGCCTGTTCAGGTAGTTAGTGGTCAGGTGTCCATACCCCTGGGCTCCCTTCTTTCCGGAGATGACGCCATGCAAGCCATATAAAAAGGTTTGCATTTTGATGCTCACACCAGTTCATTTGACTTCTCCCTTGCTCACAAGCATTGGTGAACTGGTAAGTCTTTCTTGGATTTATCAGGAAATAATGCGATGGCTGTGTTACTTGGTTGTTCTGGTCGAGAGAATATATTACCGATCCAGGAGAGCTTCGCATCTGGTGTTTCTGTTCCAGGACTCTTATTTAGAGTTTCCTCTTCCTTAAGTAACTTGCAAATGTCCTGTCATCTCTTCAGAAACTGTGACTGTCTCTCATCCTCATTTGTATTCCATCTTCATTAGTATTTTCATAACTCCTTAAGTCTGGAAATTAAACAGATTAGTGGATGTTGCAGAGTAAGTCTTGGGACTTCAAAAGAGATGGGTGGGAAGAAGCACTATCTGGAAGAAGGAAGCTGCAGAATACCCGGGGGCGAAGCTGCAGGAGACATCTGGGAGAAGCCAAGATGAGGAAATGAACTGGAAATAGGAGCTGCAACCTCTGGGCCAACCCTTCTCTTTTAAAGAATGAGCCCACTAATTCTGATACAACTCCAATAACATACCATGATATCCATCTGAAGGATTTGGGGTAGTGTCTGAATTTGTGGTCTTTGGGATTTACCCTTGAGCTCAGCATCTTCACAAAGGGGGATGTGCTCTGTGGTGTGCACGAGGAACTGAAGAAGTGATAAGCGAGAGGTGGGCCCTGGAATGTCTGCTGATTTAGTTAAGAAAATAAGGAAATGAAGTACTTTCATGCTTTGGCTTCTACAAAGTTTAACTGCGGGCAATTCTGTAAAATTCAGGGTTTATGGCTCTAGTCTTCCTAACAGTGATGCTTGCAGGTTCCCAAGAAAGGAAGAAATAATCTGGCAGCGTTAGCTGCGTATGTCTGAATCCAGAATTCATTCACACATGCATTTTTTTCTAACAGGCCTTTCCTCAGTCCAACAGCTAACTGCTTGTTTCAAGAGCTCAGGCTGTGAATTGTGGCTCACAAAGAAAGGACCAGTGTCCTGATTTTGTTTCTCTCTCTTTAGCTTTGTCTTTAGCTTTACCAGCACTTCAGGATGTCTTGCTACGAGCAGTGCAAACAGCCCTGCGTGGCCCCTCCCATTTGTGTGCAGAAGTGCGTGGAGCCCTGCAGGACCGTGTGCGTGGAGCCCTGCGGCAACGTCTGCGTGAAGCCGTGCTCCACGCCGTGCGTGGAGGTCTGTGCAAAGCCCTGTGCCACCCAGTGCACCACCACCTGCACCACCAAGTGCGTGGAGCCTTGTGTCGCCCAGTGCACTCCATGCGTGGAGGTCTGCCCAACTCCCTGTGCCACCCAGTGCACCACCACCTGCACCACCAAGTGCGTGGAGCCCTGCCGCACGCGCTGCGTGGAGCCCTGCCGCACCCGCTGCGTGGAGGTCTGCCCCCCTCAGTGCATCGACGTCTGCGTGAAGCCGTGTGCCACTCCGTGCCAAAATCCCTGCGCCACTCAGTGCGTGGAGCCCTGCGTCACCCAGTGCTGCACCCAGTGCGTGGAGCCCTGCCCAGCCCCATGCGTGGAAGTGTGTACCACCAAGTGTGAGAAGGTGTGCCAGGAGCCGTGCAGCAAGGTCTGCTCTCGCCGATGGTGATCACCTCAACGCATGAGCCTTGCCTGCAGCCCTGGTGCTTCGCCGCATTGCCATATCCACAGGCCCATGAGCATCCACGGAACGAAAACCAAGCTACAGACCCACCTGCAACGTACCGAGACCTCTCCTGATCTGGTTACCTCACGCTCTCTTCGTCTTGGAAAAGATTTCTCTGAAAGTTTCCAGCCTGTATCTTTGCTTCCTATGATGCTTCTGCTACTGCTGTCTCAGCCCCTTTCTCTGGGCAACTGCAGCTGGCCAATATCACACCGCTAGGCATCTTGGAAGTTATTTAGCAGTGGCTGTGCTGTAAGAAGCTGATGTTGGAAGATGTCTCTCTTTCTATTCTTTAGTTCTCATCTTGTCTTTTAACGTCTATGTGCAGCAATAAAAATTGACCCTTGATGGCATCGTGTGCCTTCTGTCTTTCTTTCATCTCACCATTTCCATGTCTTTGGACCCAAGAACGTCTTCCTTTACTTTGCATTTCAAAACCCTGCTGTGGATGTGGAGGATTTGTGCCTGTGAAGCAGTGCAGTAAACAGAGAGAGCATGTGGAGCAATGTCTTCTGATACTATCAGCAAAACATAATCTGGTCAATACTTTTCTAGCAGATAGAAAAAAAAGGGTTTTATCCTGCTTGAAAATATGATAGAAATCGACTTTTCACCTTTATTAATGGTAGAATATTGATCTTTATATCTCTGAATTTTGAAGGCAAATCTTAGAAACTGTTAAAAGGTAAATTTAAGTGGAAGTAAGCCCCAAATCCAGGAAAGAAGGAAATGAAATGTTCTTGCTGGGATTTTAATTATTTCTTAAAAACATTCCGATGGAAACAAAAATGTTATTTTTGCTGAATTCTTCTCATGATCCACACTGACTAAATATAGAAACTGGGAGATTTGACTTCAGGAGATGAATCTTTTTGTGGTTCAGGAACAAGTCCGAGCCCTGCAAGACTGCAGTTTTGTTCCCAGGTTTGCTGCAAATACCTTGTGTGGCTTTGGGCAGGTCTCACGCTTGTTATCTATCCGTTTCCCATCTGCAACGAGAAGTCACATCCCTGACTGACAGAGTGGCTGGCATTTCGGGTTCATTAACTTCTGGCAGGTACAATAATATTTTAATTCACTTATAAAGGCATCTTCTTTATTTGGAGTCATAATTTTGAAACTGAGGGAGGCCCATTGTCGCGAGGGACATTATACCTGTTTAAACACTGAGTTTCAGAGATAATGCTCCCATTGTCTTCCATACTGTGCATGTGACTTCCTTATCTCCGTCTCCATGATGGCCACACAATTTCCATGTCTGGGATGTAGAGAATTGCTATCCACCTACCGTATCATTATGGCAAGGGTGGAGAATATCTAATCTAGAAAAGAAAAGAGTTATATTTAGGTGTGTGTAAACACTGTTACCAAATCAGCTTTTAATGAAACCTTGTGTGCAGGTGTAGAGCGTTTGACGGTAGATTCCTTTTTGTGTTATTTCTGTCAACACCAAAAGGTGACACCATCGAACAGGAATAATGATACGCAAAACATGTCTCAGTGAGGCAAACAAACTCTATGCCTGAACACACATTTCAGTTCAGACAGATGAAGCAGGGGTAGGTGGACCAGATATTCAACAGCACGGAAACGGAGGGGGAGACTAGGAACGTGCACCTCTAGTTCCTACTGTGGGATGCAAACCTTTGGGGATTCAGCAATGAACTCTGCCTCGCTAATAACTGCTTGCTGCTGCCACACGTGTAGTGTCAGTGCCCACTTTCAGGCATGGAAAAAGTCTTAGGAAGTCACATGCAGCTACTAATGAGATCCACCCCATAGGTTAGTCACCTGTGACCGATTTCCAAGCACCTTCATCCAGCTCTATCAGCTGTATTAGTCATTTAACATATTTTCTTCTCTCTCCCTCTGCTCCAAGCGTTGCACCAGGCGCGGCAATCGTAGATGGCAGCACGCGGCTCTGAAAACCCCAGCGGAAGCGGCTGAAGAGACCTGTTGGTTTGTGCTCATCGCGCTTCCTGCGCCAGTAGGAAAATGTGTTGCAAAAGCCCGGACACGCTGCCCTCCTCTGCACCCATGGTTGGTTCTGAGCATTGCTAAGATTCCCCTGTCTATTTACAACAAATTAGTGACATTTGGTCCATGTCAACCTCAGAGTCATTAAGACCCCTGGTAAATCAGGCATGAGTGGGGGTTGTTAAGATATGAGATGATGTTGTTTCCATGAGCACCTCCTGCTCTCCTACGCCCAGTGGAAGCCATGTCCATCATCTCTCCACGCATCACGCATCTGTCATGGAGACTGGGCTGTAATTCATAGGGCTGAATATGACCCCACAGGGCATAGCACTGGGGAATAATCAAGGGAGGCTTGAACTGCCTTTTCCATTAGAGCTGAAGACAATCTTTCAGTTGAAATATTTTTCTCTGTTCCTTCCTTGGAAAAACTTAAAGGGGATCAACATTCTTCTGAAACATGGATGCATCCCCAGAAAACAGAAATTCTGCCACGACATCAGCCAGCCAAACCCAGTGTTTATAAAAAGGAAGTTTAGCTGCTTCGGTGAAAAGCTACATGAAAGTGCAAGACAAAATAAAGGGAAAGCTTTCTAATTTCTTGGCAATATAAAATGTTTCATTCCCTTTTCGGGGAAGGAAAAGAGAGGACAGAAGCAAACCACAAAACCACAAACTGCTAGACACAGACCTTCTGCCTGCCCTTCCCGGGAGCTGGGATGCAGCACACAGACCGCCCCCCCCGCCCCCATCCCACTCAGATTTGTGCCAGCTGGAGATCTGTCCTGGTGATCACAGAGAAAACTGTCAGGAAGCTCCTAAACTTTATGCAAACATGTTCTGCTACATCTGGAGTGGATCTGAGCCGTGTCTCAAATCTGAGTCCGGTTGTGGGATCTTTGCCCAGTGTCAGGACAAGATGAATTATTAATAAATTAGACAGTTATTACCAGACTGGGTGTGCCTTGCATTAAAAACAACAAATCCCCCGCACCTGAAAGAGGAGGCATCTCTCACAGACCTTGACTGAAGTCCAGGTGTATGGAGGTGTCAGTGAGGCAGGTTCTGGTTGTGAAAGATTCTGGTCATCAAGTTAATCTGTTGTCATCAACTCCCAGGGCTGACTTCTGAAAGCGTATAAAAGCCTGCCGTTTGGGACGCTTATCAACCTGAGTGGCTGCTTCTTCCCTTGTTCCAACAGCAGGAGACACAGGTGAGTCCTTCTATGCATGTTTAGCTATACAGGTGGGAGTTTCTCGTGCTCTGTTCTTGGGAGATAGGGTGATTTTTCTTTGTTTTGTTTCTCCAGTGACAGTTTCAGCTTGCCTCCCTGGCAAGTTCACCTCCACACAGGTGAAAGCCATATTATGTTATTTTGAGATTTTCTGAACCTCCAGACAGTGGCTTGCTGACTCTTTGGATCAGCAAACCCTTGTCAACCCTCATAATTTTTTCCTAACTGATAAGAATCCTTGTGGATAACCATCGGGTATTGAGTATCAGCTACCAAAGGATGGCATCCACCAGCAGCTTGTTTTGCATCTGTTGAGCGGCCGTGGGCTGGTCACTGCAGTCTCCTGGATCTCCAGGGCTTTGAGTTTCACTTCTTGTTATAAAATCATATCATCACTGGGGAGGAGGACAGTTCACCTGCACTCAACTGCCAGAGACATGGCTTCTGCTCTGAGGCTTTCAATGAACTAAGCAGAGAAGTAGCTGTTGCTGGAAGGGGTTGTTAATGAATGATTTTTCTCTTTCAAAACCACTTGCAATACTGAAATGTCACTAGCTTTCTGCTCCTCTGACCAGTTTTAAATACTGTTCTGAGGTTCTCCTTGAAGTAAGCATGCTTTTATTAAAATTTGTATTGCTTCTTAAAGTTGCCAAGTTCAGAAAATAGTGTGCAGGGGGAAAGAATGAAAACCCCTCTCACTGTTTCTCTTCCCTCCACCTCTGTAGCCATTTACCTGTTTGGATCACAGCTTTGTTAGGATGGTGCTTGCCTCTCAGTCCTTTATGCTTTAATACAGTTGTGCCCTAAGGCCTCAGCAAGGTGGCTGATCTCCATAGAGGCTAACCGTGATGGAAGCCCAGAAAAGCAATACGGGGCAGGTACAGCAAACTGGAGTCACCAACACAAATTTGGTCTGAACAGCAGCATGCTCAGAGATTTCCAAGGGTTTTTTTTTTGTGTGTGTTTTTGCTGATAGGATTAACTTTTTAAAAGCTCTTCACTGTTGGTTTGATGTCAAAGCTGAAGAACTGACTGAAACTGTAATATCCAGCAAGAAGTGTGTAGGGCTAAAAATAACTGAAATGGCACCTTAGTTTTCTTCCAGGCTTAGCAAAGATGTCTTCCCACCAGCAGAAACAGCAGCAGCAAATACCTTCAAAATGCCAGGAAAAGTGTCCTCCAAAGGGTGTGGAGCAATGCCAGCCCCCAAAAGGGCAAGCCAAATGTCCTGTGAAGAGCATCCCGCAGCAGCAGCAGCAGCAGCAATGCCCAAAGCAGAAGTAGCACTAACAGCAACGGCCACAAAGTGCCATCGAAGATGCAAATGCTTATTTCCAAGCTCTCCTTCTGTCTGCTGGCTCTGCCAGAATAGCTAGAAATTTGCAGCATGCCTCCTTCAGTTGCGAGCAGAAATTACTTTACAAAGAGATGCAGTTCATTAACTTGGATTTATTCATCCTCTACTATTAAAAAAAAAAAAAAAAATTGTGGGGCCATTTTCTTCTGATCTTTAATTTGGGACATGCTACAATAAAATTATAAGTAATCTCATTACTTGCTTCCTGATATTTTTTTTTTCACTTTACTAGTGTTATTCATTCTCTTTTGCTTTCTTTTACTAGCCAAAGAATTACCTTTAAACGTACACTTGTATATAAGGCACATATACACGGGGAACCATGCTGATTTGCCTTCCAGATTTCCCAAGGAGTTATTTGTCCATATTTTTATT